GTGTGTGTGTGTGTGTGTGTGTGTGTGTGTGTGTGTGTGTGTGTGTGTACACACATGTAGAGGGCTGCAATGGCCGAGGGGAGGCCTGGCCTGAGGATGCCGTGCCACAAAGCCTCCTGACCAGTGTAGGTCTTCTCATCAAATGCCTGTGCCCTTGGCCAACTAGCTGGGAGATCAGGGGTTCAAACCCACCAGCCACTTCACAGCAGAAAGAGGCTGGCTGCCCCTGTAAAGACTGCCAGGCTTAGAAACGCGATGGGGGCAATTCGACTCTGTCCTACAGAGTGGTGGGGGTTAGACGCAACCAGAGAACCATGGGTTTGCTTGTCTGTGACCCCGAGAGGTGATCACCTGACCCAGACCTGGCCAACCTGAGGGCTCCATCTTCCTGGCCATGTGATTGGCTGCTTTGAATCACATGCCTACCTCTAGGCCAATCAGAATCTTCCCTGGATTTTCTGCCAGCGCTCACAGGGAAGACTGGCTGGTGGTGACCTTGGGGAGGAGGCCGTGGGTATCTACCTGGGCACCAAGTGGGCAGGTGCTCCTCAGAGGCCTGTCTATTCCCACAGGCCCAGGGGAGACGCTCCACACTTCCGGGAAGAGGGGCAGCTGGAGCAGACTGAATGGTTTCAGGAGGGGAGAGGCTGAAGGTGGGGCACCCACGAGCAGGGGAGAGATGAAGGTGAACAGGGGGCCATGACAGAGACAATGGGAGGTGATGGCTGGATTCTGGGGTGGCTCGGGAGGAGCTGGTTTCTACAAGAGGAAGGTTAGAATCAACCCCAGGTTCCTGGGTGGGTCCCATGGCGGGTGGCAGAGCCATTGCTGAAACCAGGGACAGGGGCAACTCGGGTTTGGGTAGAAGGCAGAACTTGTTCAGGAACTGCCGGAGGCCCTGTGGAGGTGGACTTGTGGGGGAGAGTGACCCCGGGCAGCCCCCACCCCAGCACCCCATCCGACAGGAGCAGTGGGGACATACCAAAGTTGGGGTATTGATGATGGAGAGGTTGTAGCCAAACTGAAAAGTCCCTCCAATGCCGGCCGCACAGATGGTCAGGATCAGGACCCTGGCCTGGACCTGAGGAGGCAGGGGAGGGGCGGGCAGGGCGTGACTGGTAGCAGCCCCCCTTACCCTCCCTGGCCTGGAAACTCCAGGCCTCAGCCAGCCCTGCAGTGGGCCTGAACCCAGCAGCCACGTGTCCACTCACAGATAAGGAAACCGAGGCCCGGAGAAGGGAGGAGGTCTCAGAATGCAAGCCTCTGAGCTAAGCCTCCACCCCTGGACCAGGGCTCCCCACCTCACAATCCCCAGTTCCAGCCCCTGAGACCAAGCCTCCACCCCCTAGCTAGGGCTCCACCCCTGGATCCTGGGGCTCCCCCTCTTGAGTCCAAGACTCCACCCCTCAGTCCAGGATTCTACTCTCCCTGTTTAGGGCTCTACCTCCTGAGCCTAGGGCTCTACCCCCACCCAGTTCAGGACTCCACCCTCTGGACCTAGGACTCCACCCCTCAGTCCGGGGCTCCACCTCCTGAACCTAGGGCTCTACCCACCAGTCTAGGCCTCCATCCACCCACCACCAAATTCAGAACCAATCCCCACCCTGCCCTGAGCGCCCCCTCCCTCTGTGCCACCCTTTCCCAGAGATGGGCAGAAGTTCTCATCCTCCTTCTAGGGCTGTCCTGGGCACAGCTGCTGCCTTGCGGGAGAACCATTTCCTGGGCTGGGCATGCAGGAAGCCCACATCCCCGGCAGCACAGGAAGGGGCATCCCAGAGTATGTCCTTCAGCCTCTGCAAGGTCGTTCTCCCACAGAGAAGCTGGGCCCTAGGAGCGTGAAAGAGGAGGGTTGGAGTGGAGACCCAAAGCCCATCGGTAGACAATTGGACATCCCC